AAAAAAATTAAATTAGTTTTTTTATAATAAATATATATTATATTTTTTAAAATATCCTTGTTAATCAAATATATTAACTATAATTATTATTATTAGAAGAATTATTTTAAAAAGAAATGAATAAATATGGAAGATAAAATACACTAAGATCTTATATTTAAAACCAAAATAAAAATCAAACAAAATCTTATATTAAAGATCAAAAATAACATTTCACTATTAGTTAACTACGTATTAACCAAGCACAGGCTACATTAAATGCAATGTGGGTTGAAATAGCATGTATCTTAGCAGGTTGGCAACTGCTACAGCGAGTTGGAAGTTTTTTTTTTTTGGTTAAATAATTACAGTTTACTTTTTCTTTTGGATATACAATTAATGCAATTTTTTACATCCAAACTAAATATCCAAAGATCAAATTGAACGATTCCGCAAGCCTAAATCATTAATAACATACATAGAGCACTTCGCATTACAAACATCATTAACAATTCAACATCAATTTATCAACTATTTCAAAGCTTACAGACAAAAAAAATCTAATCATCTTCGATAATGATGTTTGAAGCATCATCTGAAGCCCTTGAAACATCAACACTTTCCTTTTCCACAAATTCCTCTGCCATACATAATGAAAAAGGTTAGGTGTGCACCTAATTGCTCTCAATTGAAAAGTTATATATATGAAATAAATGGGCAAATATGATCATATTACCATTCCATGGAAAACCAAGAATCCAATTACGAGTACAAATAAGTGTTTGAACATTCTCCGGAAGAAGGCAACTTCGATATTTTGTCAGAACTCGTGAACCAATACTAAAAGCCGATTCACCAGCAACTGTAGTAATTGGAATGCTTAAAATATCACATGCCATCTTTGAAAGACAGGGAAACCACGTGGAGTTAGTCTTCCAATAATCCAAAACATTAAGTTCTACAAACAAGTTAGGATCAAGTGTTCCTTCTTCCAAATAATAGTCTAATTCAGACTTCTTAATTGTTGTGGTGTCTTTGCTCTTGTATTCAAGATAATCCTGCATTATACAGATAAAGCGTTAATAAAGTACCAATCAAATAATATTAAAAGGAGACATTTAACGATTCAAGAATTTCAAACTTACACCAAAAGCAATCAAGTTCATGTCTTTATTAGTTATAGAGTAACGAGTAGAAATTGGTGGCGCTGTCCTTGACACATTGACATTAGAACTTGATTCACTTCCAACAAAAGGAACTGAAGATGGTGATGATCCCACATCTTTATACTCATTGAAAATATAGTATAACTTGCTCCTAATATTTTCAATCTTCTTGTTACAATTTACGGGATCAAGTTCTGAATAAGCAAATTTTATGACATCAAACTTCATTCGTGGATCAAGGATAACTGCAAGTGCAAGAATGACACTATAATCACTCCAATATTTCTCAAATTTGTCAAGCATTCTCACAGCCATATCTTGAATCACAACATCATCATTATGCACATTTTTCTTTAACTTTGTCTCAATTTGTGATATCAATATGAAGTACATGTTGGAAGTGGGATACGATGACTCCGAAATCAAGTTAGATATCACTGCAAATGGCTCCAAGAATGTGCATATCTCATCTATTCTATACCACTCTTCATTTGTTGGACAATGATGATAATGGCTATCATCAAAAGCTAAACAAACAAAAGCACGACGATATTTAAGCGCACTTTTAAGCATTGCATGTGTCAAATTCCATCTGGTTGGGACATCTAACCTCAAACCCACTGAAGTGTCAGCACCCCCAACTTGTTCGACACATCTCTTGAATTTTAGTGTCGTCTCCTCTGTTTGTCTCACATATCTAATGCTCTCTCTAATCTTATGAATAGCTTCACTTGTCATGTTCAAGCTCTCTTGAACTATGAGATTCAAGATTTGGGCACAACATTGCACATGAAAAAACTCCCCATTGCATATCAAGCTATTACTCAAATTCAACCTCCATTTTAGCACATTTTGCATACTGTCATTTGCTGAAGTATTCTCCGAGGTAATAGAAAATAGTTTCTTTTCAATCCCCCAGTCTGCCAATATATCATATGCCCTTCTAGCCAATTCAAACCCAGAGGAGGGAGGCTCCACCTTAGAAAATGCAAGTATTTTGCTATTAAGCTTCCATTTCTCATCAACAAAGTGAGCACTCAAGCAAAGATATCCTTCAGAATTTACTGAAGTCCAATAATAAGAAGTTAAACATACTCTACTACGACTCTTCCCTATCATTTCCTTGAGATTCTCTTTTTGACTAAGATAGACATTCCAAACATCCACCATAGCAGTTTTCCTAGTAATGTGCTTGCAATTAGGATTCAAATATTTGAATATATCCCTGATTCCATCATACTCAACAAAGGAATATGGAAGATCATGTTTAATGATAGCCATAGAAATCAATTCTCGGAATTTGTTATGATCAATTTGTCTAGCACGAATGCCCTCACATTTTGGGATTGATTCACACATGTTCACATGACGCAGAAGAGTTGAAGTCTCATATTCCTTGCCGCCCACAATATATGATTCTCCACACCCATTACATGTAGCCTTTCTTTTTCCATCTACTTTGCCAACTCTAGTAAAATACTTCCAAACTTCAGATGTGGAGCTTGTTTTTACCTTTTTGTTTGGATTATCTTGCCCAGAAGAGTCAGGTTGTACAGATTGGTATTCCCCATCATCATGAGCTTCCAACTCTAACTGGAAATCAGAGACAGAGCAAGCCTTCAAGTTCAAAGAAAAAACCTTGACATCAGGATATGAAAGGAGACAAAAAAGGGGGAAAGAAAAAAACTTAAAGGAGGGAAAAGTAAAAGAAAAATACCATTAACTTGTCAACAATGAAGGTTAAGTAAGTGCTCTCTGGACAACCATATCACGGAACAGAGTATCCCCAATTTAGAACTGTTCTGTGAAAAATCCTGCTGTTATTTGTACATCGAGGGTGGAAACAAAAACAGAAACAACAATTTTATGAAAGGCCCACTAACAGCAGAACCACTATCTCCCAAGCAAGGTCTCTGTCCTCATTTCTATAATATCGACTATAGAAGTATATCATATCTTACGCCAGATAACAGTGATTCAATTTATAAGAGTCACGCTCCTAAGTAAGGAAAATTGCCAAAGCTCAAATTTAAAGCTACAACGAAGAATGGAACCAAAAGAATCAAGATAAAACGGATGAAGTGACTAGATGCGTGAAAAAGTGAAAAAGTAAGAAAAAGGAAAAATGAAATCAGAGAAGAAAATACCAGATTTATCAGAGATGAAAAGGTGATTGAAACTTAGCAGAGACTAGCGACCTCTAAAAATTGAGGCGAGAAAAAAAAAAAAAACCGGGAAAGTGCACGTATAGTGGAGTTTTGGACGGCGACGACGATTGCAAGGTAGGGAGGCTCTATCGGCTGTCGGTCGGAGGCTCTGAGCCGTAACCGTGAGCGTAGTAGCCACAGCAGGTGAGGCCTAGGGTTCTCTTTCTCTGCGCGCCAGGTTTTCTTCTATACAACCCTGCGCGCCAAGCCTCTCCATCTGGTGTGGTTTGATTTACCAAATTAACAAAATTGAAAGGTGGGCTCAGTCGGGTCGAAACAGACCCGCATCCTCCATCTCCTGGGCCTTGTCATTTTTTTTATGGTTTGAACTGTGAGCCCACCATACTACAAGAGATTCATCAGAGCTTGATATACCTCTAGGTTCAAAAAACACTTGCAGAAGTACTTACAGGTCACCCATCAATAAAGTTTTTATATCAGCGGGATTATAAGCTGACTCCTTACTAATTGTATAAACTCTTGTGGGTTATATTATGATTCTAATATTAGCACATTATATAGTCATATAGTAATACAGAAATTATAGCGAACGAAAGTTGGAATCCTGCCGGGAGAGGTGAATGTTTAATAATGTCTTGAATAAGATTATCTCTAGTAAAATAATAGTTGTGTTTAGAAAGAAAGAACAGAAATTATGGGGTACGTGCATAAAAATTACTGTTACAATTACATATTTTATTGCTGCAGTTTTTTCTTTCTTTTAGTCAAAACAGTCTTGAGACAATTCCAGATTCCTTATACTTTCTCCCAGAGGCACCCAACAATTTTTTTTAAAAAAATTTCATCTCTTACTCATAATTCATTCGTTGAATTGACTCTGATTTCAATTATTACTCATTTACTCTATCTATTTCCCTTATACTAGAGCCATTTTTGCATAAAATTATGGACAGGCAAATGGGGTTTTAAAACTTTAGCAAGAGTAAGAATGCTCAAAACCAAATCATTAGCCACAAAAAAAAAAACTATTAAATGGACTCAAAAATACTCTTCTGATTCTTAATATAGGACCTAATTGAGACTAATGTTGAATTTACATGTAAAACATATTTAACATGTTCATCATTTTTTTTGGAAATAAATCCCATTGATATTCCTCTAATAATAATCAAGTAAGAAATGAAGAGAAAGAATTAAGAAAGATATTTATGGTATTTAAAAAAAAAATATCATATCAATTAATTTAACTAAAATTATTAGTAGTTTTTATAACTTGAAATCAATTTAGTCATTGATTGTTAATAGAACTCAGTTTATGTTGTTAATAATAATAATAATAATAATAATAATAATAATAATAAAGAACTCAATGTAATTGGATAAAACTGAATGGCAAGATAATCAGACCAAAGAAACCGAAATATTCCATTTTGCAAAATCGATTAAATTGATTTGATTTGATTTTGTTAGAAATTAAATCAATGTACAATTGCTCAATAGTTCGATTAAATGGCAACAATTAGGGCAGCAAAAGGACGCCATGTGGTTGCAACGCATTACAATAATAACAAGCCTTCTGCCAAAGTCAGTTATATGGATCGAACGATATTATAGTAACATACCAACAAACAACTCTTAAAATATACCAGGCACCAATATACGCCCTGCAAAATACAGCAAAGCAAAATTCTTCCGCAACAAAATGGGCCATAATTGCATCAATGGCAAGAATTAGTAAATAATTTAACTTTTACATGTAAATTAGTTTTGTACAATTGAAAAGGTACAGTAGCCAAAGCAAACTGTTAAGTGTTGGAAAGGGGAGAAGTTATTCAAATTAGCTTTTTGAGCAACTTGGCAATGTTTATTAACAAAGTGATACAGAAATCCTAGTGAGTGTTAAATTTCAACACAGTCGTCGTCTTCATCATCCATGTCTTTGTCCCAGTCCAATGAGAAGGATGCAGCTGATTTCATCAACTCTGTTAGTCCAGTCAGATCCTCTAGGTAGGTGGGATGATTAATTGCCTCAAGTATGAATTCCATTCCTCTGTTCCGATATTCAGATACAACCTGAACAGTTGTAATTTCACCCACACAAAAAATAAATAAATAAGAAGTCTGGAAATTCCTAGTGAATTAGACATCATGAAAACCTTAATCACTCTATTGTTCTTTGAGGGGCATCATATCCAGGAAATAATATATCATAAGATATAATTCTCACTGCAACCGGCATTTTCAGTGAACATAAATAGTGCATCAAGAGAGGTCTTTTTTTTTTTGGGTGGTGAGGGGACAAGAAATAAACAACAGATGCAAAGATGGAATGAGAACCAGACACCGTCATATTATTTTGTATCGCTTTGCGTTCAAATGCAAAAATGAATTAGAGACATGTAAATCTCCTAAGATAGCTTTATAAAGTACAGTTGTAATTTCACTACAATCAGGCAAGGAAGCATGAATACTAATGTGGGCAAAGATAATCTTTAAAAGTTTAAAAAGCCCATATCATGTCAATTTCAAAATAGATATTTTTTAACTGTCCTTGCTTCATACTAACAAGAGATAAGAAATCTATGAAATATCTAGTGATAACTAGTCTAGTCATGAACCTTGAAAATTGAAAACACTACTAGATTATTCCATTATTCATCCCATAAACATTGCCATAGCATTTGGGATAAAATCAACTATTGAAGAAAAAAATAAAGCACGCATATGCCACAAGAATTTCAGCATAAGCAATCCATATACATATTTGGTTGGATGAGAAGTATTATATATACCTGCAGACATATTTTCATCAAATTGTCAATATTTCCCCATTTAGGTTCACCTTAGATCCAAAATATCTCAGGATTTATAATGTTTGCACTTGGTTGTCTAGGTTGTTTACATTGATCCTAAACAATCTAAAAGGGATTTGAGAAATTCTCTATAATTAAGTATCAAGGAGAAGTATGACATTAGGTGTGATCTAATGATGAAAGGTGTGAGTAGTTAAAAGGAGGTCTAAGGTTTAAAAGATTCACTTCATCAGGAAATTTTAGTAAAAGTAGTTTGATGACATCTGGGTAGTATCACAAAATTCTTCATGCAGGAGGCAATGATGATATTTGGGGCATACAATGACACTAAAATTTTTGCAAATGAGTCACCATAGGTGCTATTGACCGCCCAAACTTACCATTTGGCAACAAGCTGTACAGCTGGAGGACGAGTGACCTACAAGAGTCATTTGAGAAAATTGAGAAAGGGAACCCCGAATTTGATGTGGTAAAATACCAAGAGGTTGCTCTGTACTTCCAATGACACCGGAGTTAATTTCACCCTCTGCATATATCCTGAGAAAATGTAGTCAAGATGTGAATTTCAGGGAGATATATGAAGCAAAGAAGCCTGAGGGTGATGCATGAGAAATAAAAAATAACTATTTGCGGCATTACCCTTGAGGGTGATGCAAAATCCCCACTAAAAGCTCAACTGCAAGGGATGAAGCAATAGGAGCAAGCCCTGGCCGAGTCACTGTGCACTGCTGGTCCAGAGTGCGGTTTGAGGTTGACTGCAGAAAGGACATAGATTTAGAACTTCACAAAATGTTGTGTGTGTATGCATTCAAATATATCATAGTGCTGCAAGAAAATTACATCAGTGGGTGCAACGACATCACTGCAGAAATAACATCCCAATCTTTCCTTTCCTGTTGCTTCATTTACATTAAGTTTTTGCATATCATCACATAAAGAAGTTACAGTTTCATACTCAGATTAGGGGCTTGACTGAAAGGCCAGCTCCATGGCGCATAACCAAGAAACTATCAAATCCTAGAGCTGCAGTAATTGTAATCTGCACATAGATAAATAGTATTCACGTAAGGAATGTTAATTTAAAATCAAATTAAGGCAGATATGATATATGCTTCAGTTAAATGTTAATTAAATGTGATGCAGGGATGCGGAGTAAGACAATGACATACATGTCATCTAAAAGATTAAATTGACTAACCTTGTTAGTATTAGCACAAAGAAGTGATGGAGCCATCGACTTTCCCTTGTATCAGTCAATAGGAAAACTGCATCATGTGCATCAATCAAATCAAAAGACGTCTACAATCATCAACTACGCTCTTCTCTTCTTGCTAGGTATTGGATGCCCAGGCATTGGTATAGCCATTACAACACCTTCAGCTTCCTG